CCCATCCAGCCTGGCCTTGGACACTTCCAGGGATGGGGCATCCACAGCTTCTCTGGGCAACCTGTCCCAGTGCCTCCCCACCTTCTCTGGGAAGAACTTCTTCCTGGTATCTAATTTAAACCTCCCCACTTTCAATTTAAACCCGTTTCCCCTTGTCCTGTCACTACAGGCCCTTGTAAAAGGTCCCCCCCAGCTTCCTTGTAGCCCCTTCAGGTACTGGAAGGCTGCAATAAGGTCTCCCCGGAGTCTTCTCTTCTCCAGGCTGAACAAGCCCAACTCTCTCAGCCTTTCATCATGGTAGAGGTGCTCCAGCCCTCTGAGCACCTTCGTGGCCTCCTCTGGACTCGCTCCAACAGCTCTTGGGGATCCCAGAGCTGGACGCAGCACTCCAGGTGGGGTCTCACGAGAGCAGAGCAGAGAGGGAGAATCCCCTCCCTTGACCTTAACTGTTGGTTAATGTGGCAGGTTTATGTGGCTGCAAGGGGTAGGCTAGCAGTGCATCCTGACGTTCATCTCCGTGCCCTGTCCTTTCCAGGCTTTCGCAGAGTAGGTCTGTGCCACCCCTCACCAAGGGCACAGGAGGCACAAGGGGCAGCTTGTCCTGGGGGGTGTCTGCCTGTCCTGCAGCACAGCTGCAGCCCAGCGGCAGGGCCAGGTGAGCCCAGCAGCTGCCTCATCCCCAGATAAGGGCTCTGCTCCAGAGACAGGGCAGAAAGTCTCCATTTGCTGAAATATTCCAAATCCTGGGGTTTTGTTCCCACTGAGGCTCTCGGCTGTGCCTACGGCAAGCTCTGTTCCTGCCCACCAAACACACTGCTGGTCTCTTCAACAGCTTGTGCCTGCCTGGACTGTGCTCCACTGCCAGTGTCAGCAGGAGACTCTGTGGGGACATTGAAAATAGAGCAGTGGTACCTTGGTCCTTCCTTTGTTTCCTGCAAGCGAGATGCTCATCTCTTCCCCACGTAGCTCAAGGTGATCCCTCCTTCGTCCCCCGCTGGTGGCACTGCTGCCGTAAGCACTTTTCGGGGCGTGAGGGCACCAGGAAGTGGTGGTGTTTGTGCTGGGCTAGTGCTGAGCTCTGCTCTAGCAGCTCTGGTTCAGCTTTTCTGGGCTCTCAGGGGAAGCTGGAATAGCGTGCTGGGGAGCCCTGCTATTGAGCGATAAGCCCCAGAGGATGGATCCCTCTTTCAAAAGCACCTTCCCACCCTCTGATGTGGAGAAAAGGTCTGTAATAGATGAAGTTTGAGGGCTGCAGGTGTAAGGGGCTACCTTGGCTGCCATGAAACCTTTTGGGTTTTCTACAAAGGGCTTTTTCCCCACAGTGTGTGTGTTGAAGACAGGAGGCAACAAGTCTTCCTTTTCTTCTTTAGGAATTGCATGAATTTGTTTCATTGGTTATTTTTTTTAATGGCTTGTTTTCTCTACATGCAAGCCATAACATTTCACGTGGCATCAGCATCCTTGTGTAAGCTCCTAGCTGGGATCTAAAGGGAAGGAACTAAGAGTCCAAAAGGATGACAAGCAGACTCTAAATGTCACTAGGTGGAGGTGATGTTACCTGCACCTCCTGTATGCTCCGCGGCAGTCGGGCTCTGGACCCGGGTCTGTCCCACTTCCTTGTGCCAGCCATGGGGCAGGGTGGGCTGGACCCTCCCCTCACCTGGCAAACAAGGGAGTTCTCTGGCACCCGGAAGGGTCGGCTCTGTTTGTGAGGCTGTATCCCGGGGAACAGGCTTACCCTTTCACTGGGTGAAGGACAATGCTGCTTATTCGCTGGGATTAGCCAAAATTCCTGGAACGGGTAAAGCGTCCTGGGGCCAAGGGGCTGTGCAGCTGTGGCTGGAGCAGCTGCCAGGGGGGCATGAAAGTCTGAGCTCTGGATCTTTACCTCTGCCAAGTACAGGTGGAAGGAAGAAACAAGTGTAAAAGGCAGAGTAAAGAGTCATCTTCATCTTCACCCTTGAGCTATCCAGGCTTTGCTGACATTTTTCCTTCTCTGTACAGGTAACTGCCACCAATCAGGCTAATTAAGTGGCTAGTGGGCTGTAGTGATGAAGCGAGTTCTGCTGCATCGACCGTCTATAGAATCACCCAGATTTTACAAATTGTGACACTGTGATTGTGTTGGAAACACATTTAAAATGCAGTAGTGTGCAGCAACTGTGTTAATGGCAATTCTTAAATCCACTAGCGGGTTGCAATCTGTAACTTCAAATTAGCCAAGGCAAAGAGAAATGGCAGATAAAATATCTGTTGTGGTTTACTGTAGTTAGTCTGTGCCTAGAGTAATCAACGTAGGGAAGGGGAAGGGGGAGAATTAAAATTCACTCCCTACTGCTGGGAGGCCAGATAGATTTCCTTGCAAGCAAGCAGAGTATTTGTTGGCGTGATTCCGGCATGCGTGTGTTACTTGTGTGTGCGTATCCCAGTAGTGTGTAAGTCGCCTGCGCACGCGGCACCGGGCCAGCATCGATTAGTCAGGGGGACTACACAAATTTACCCAGAGGCAGTAAGAGGGATTTTCAAAGCTGCTCTTGTGAAAGTTTTATTAATACCTTAGGAAGGCTTGAAAACCCCACCCAAAGCAGAACTTAATGCCTTGCCGATGGAGCACATAACCTTTATGGCATCAAAAATGTCATCAGGCTAACCATGTTGTTGCCTCTGCTGGTGTCTGTCTTTGTTTTTGATGTCCAACTATTCCTGGATGTTCTCTAAGGAAAATAAGACTCAAAGTTGTTGTATTTTGTGCCTGTCTGTCAGCCTGTAATGGCTGGCTACAAAATCCATGAGTATTTAATTGAAGGAGTGGTTAATTTTTGGAGTACTGTAGGTAAAACAATCTCTAGCTTCACTGGGATGCCATGTCTTCTTGGAAGGGTTCTCCTAGCTTGGACACTTAGTTGTGATAGCGGGCACGCAGTGAACGAGCACTTAGAAGGCGAATCTCTCTGGGTCCGCTTGGCTAAGATGCTGTTTCTTTTGAGAAAGAAATGGCTGGTAATCCTGTTTCTGTGCCCTCTACTGTACTTTTGCACTTCTGTCCAGGGAGCAAAGCTGCACACCCAAGTTCTCCAAACACGCTGGAAGATCACTTTCTTCACTGCCTAAAATTTCATACAG